TAGAGGTTTGTACCTATGTTGTCTGCTTATTATTTCTTGCCTATATCTTGTAATATGAGAAACTACTTTGGCAGTAACAATACACAATGTACTAACCATTGTTACCCTCCTAAAATCTTGTTTTGAGATTTTGTACCACTGTTTTTATTTTTTTTTCTTTCTTTCTTTAAAATAAAAATAACTGATGTCAATAAATAAATAAACCTGTAAAATAAAACTAGCACTAGAATGGACTTAAATGCACTTAGAAAAAAGTTTTATACACCCATCTACATAAAAGAAGCTCTCAATACATTAGCTCCTGAAATGTATACAAATTTATAAAAGTATGTCTTCTTTTTTTTTTTTTTTTTTTTTTGCACTGTACTGGGAATCAAACTCAGGACCTTGCACTTGCCAGGTAGGTGCTTGTGCTGCTGAGCTACAACCTGGGCCTAGTATGACTTCTTTCTTAAGTCAACAAAAAAAAAAAAACAAAACACATGCCATTGGTCAGGAGAAAAAATGAGTATACAAAAATACTTGAAAGCACATTTCACATCAGGGTTGAGGCAGAATTTTTATATATATGAAGATATGCACAACTATGTCTCTGGATTATTAGCTAAAGATTTTCTCTATTCTTCTCTGACACTTCACTGTTACAATCTCACAACCAACCAAGATAAAAAGTCTCACTGCAAGTATCTAAATCTTCCTTCTTAACTTCTTGGGAAGCATTTGTTGAGAGTCCGACACAATGCACCATGATTGATATAAAGGATACAAAACTGAAAAGAAGATCACAGTGTCTAATGGAAAAACAAACAAACAACAAAAGCCCCAGACAAGTCTAAAGCAACAATTCTAAGGGAAGCCATGGGAAGGACAACGTTAGAAAAACTTTCTAGAAGAAATACCTTTTCAGCTAAATAAAAATGAAAGGCAAGAGGGCCGGGGACATAGCTCAGTGGTTTAAGTGCCTGCCTGGCAAGTGCAAGGTCTTGAGTTCGATCCTTGGTACCAACAAAAAAGGAGAAAGACATCAAAGTGAAGCAAATAAAGGTAGAGACTATAATATGGAAAGCAGGAAAAAGATACCTTACACAAGGGAAGTAGCTCACAACAGGGTTCATGGCTCACAACAGAAGAAATAAGTAATTTCATGTGCTAAAGTAAAATACAAAGCCAAGCGTGGTGGTGCACACCTGTAATTCCAGCAGCACTCAGGCGGCTGAGGCAAGAAGATCCTTGTGAGTTTAAAACCAGACTGGGCTACACAGTAAGTGTGAGTCCAGGTCAGCCTGAACTATATAACAAGACCCTGTCTCCAAAAATAAATAACGAAATAAAGTAAACAAATAGCAAAGACATAAAAGCTGTAAAGGCAAGAAAAAAATTAGATCATATACTTGGTCGTATTTGTTCTTGCAAAGAAAGAAATGCTAATGTCCTGAACTAAGACAATAACCGTGGAGATAAAGAGGAATGACTGAAGACACAAGAAAAGATGGCAAACTACAAAGAACAAAGATGGCAGAAGATGTGAAAAATGGCACACAGATAAATGATTGTGTCAGACATGGGGGTAAGAAATGCAGATGTAGGCTATGCACACATACAGTAACTGAATAATCTATCTACAAAATAATCATCTATATAATCTGTTTCAATCTATGTACATAAAGGGAGAAAACTAATGTTTATTGCTATGTGGTAAAATATAGTGTTTTTTATTTTATGCATTACTAATTCATGTATTTTTCTACAACCCAGAAAAATTTCTTTTTAACTAGAAAATGAAATCAACAGGGACTACTCTCCTCAACTGCTGTTCAAGTACTTCTACCAAGAGACACATCTCTAGACAACACCTGCAAACTAACTTAGCAACTGAAGTATTGCTTGAACCACACACATTTACGAAAAAGAGAAGTGCTACTGCTTTCTCACTTCTCATAGAAGCCAAAAAAAGATTACACATGAAACAATCCCACACCAAACTGCTCACATTCAATCTCAATGAAATTATTCCATATGAAGTAAAGCCACACAAAATATATGCAAAAATGTTGAATGAACTACTGGACATGCCATTAACATGAAAAAAACAAGACAAAATATATATAAAAAAAAAAAGATTTTAAAAAATTATTTTTATGTAATTGGTACAGGATCTCACTATGCAGCTTGGACTCATAGTGATCCTCCTATTTTCAGTCTCCCCAGCACTGGGATTACAGGTGTGCGCCACCACGGCCAGACTCAGTAGCCACCACAGTGCACCTGGGGGCAGGGACCAGTGCAGCACATGGTGCCAGGGATGAAACCCGGTCCCCGCACTTGCTTAAGCAAGCACTTAGTACACCAGCCCAAGAAATGGTATTTTAAATGAGATAACTTTTCAATAAAAACAGAATTGCTGGGGCCAGGAAGATGGCTCAGTGGAATAAGCACTTTCCTAGCAAGTGCAAGGGTCTGAGTTCAATCCCTGGTTCTGCAAAAAAAATTAAAAACAGAATTGCTTATATGCCCAAGCACTCAAAACCAAGACACATTACTTCTAAGACATGAAACAGAATTTTAAAAAGAACTACATTTTTAGGGGACATCAAGGCTAAAAATGACCAAACAAGTCAGGTATGGTGATGCATGCCTATAATCCCAGCATTCTGGAGTCTGAGTTCAAGCTCAGCCTGGGCAATTTAACAACTTAGTGAGACCAGGTCTCAAAACAGAGAGGGCTGGGATTGTAGCTCAGGGTGAAGGCCCTGAGTTCAAGTTCTATTACCCACCCCCTCACTCACACACACACACACACACACGAATGAAGACTACCCATAACAGAAAGTAGACAATTGAGCTTCATTTTTTGCTAATACTACTTGCTCATCCCCTGCTCTGAACACCTCTCAACGCAACTGCCAAGCTCAGCAAAAGGAAAACAAGCATGAGGCAGTCTGCTAGAAATTCTGATGAGGACGATGAGACAGCAGCCCCAAGTAGTTTTTGCTGAAACATAAAAATTTGATATGCAGCCAATGCACAGTGCACAGGAGTGACTACCTCAGGGAATGGACACTTCCTAAAAGCAACCACCAAGACAGGGCTAGGGAGGACCAGGAGAGAAGGCTTCTGCCTCTCTATGTTTCTTTTCTGTGTTCTCCCTAAAAACACTTGCATGCCTCATCTCTTTGACAGTTTTCACCTTCATTACTATTGGAAATTCTACTAGCTCACTGATACAGCTATTTCAATAATCTGATATTTGCTCATCACTGGTGATAATTTTCATGCAACAATTCTTATTTGGAGATTTAAAAACACGTATCAGCTCTCTCTTTTAGTAATAAACTCATTATACCCTCTCCTAACTTCCTTATGTTTCCTTTGGCTCTCTTACCTCTAAACAATGTCATAAAATAATTTCAGTTTTTTCTTCCAAGCTAAACCTCTGATTAATAAATTGATCTGCTTGGTTTAGCTGTCAAATCACAAAGTAAGTATTACAGAAGTGGAAAAGGTCAAGATTTGAGTATATCAAATTAAGGACATTTTAAGATCTATGTTCATGAACACATCTACAGATTGAAATTGAGGGTTAAATTTAAGCTTTGTGATTCTAAATTCTTTGGCTTAATCAATCAACAAATATTTACTGTATGTCTTAAAGGGACTAGTGCTGTGCATAACAGCAAACAAAACAGTTCAAAGAATTAAACAAGACAAGATGCATACCTGAACTCTCTGCAGAGGAGAGGATAAATGAGGCGCTTAAAGGAATCGTCCAGTGAATTATATAAGACTTTCATTAACTCTGGCCTTGCAAAGCCATGTGGTCTCCACCTGCAAAAAAAAAAAAAAAAATCATCATCATCATCAGCCCATATTAAAACTTGTGTCATAATAATGAGACCATGAAAGACGAACAGAATGTAACAGGGAAAGAGGACAAATCTTTATTGAAGCCAAAATAACATAATCTGTGAGAGAAGACTGTGGTGTCTAGAAGCTATTACTGTAACATCTGGAGATTTTATTCCTTTTTTTTTTTTTTAGAT